TGCCCCCTTGTTTCACAGCACCTTGAATATCACTTCCTTTTCCTGCCCAAAGCAGGAGGTAACCCTGTATTAAGACCATCGTAGGTATGTGTGTGTGTGTACAATACACACATACAGCACATGTCTCTATTTAGAGATTCCATGATATGCGTTCTATATACACTTTACAGTCCCTTTTCTTAATTTCAAAAATATAATTTCCAACGTCCAAAAAGTGTTTTCCAAGACTTTTGCCCTATTTTTAAAAATAATGTCTAAATATGATTAAGTGTCTTCCCAGAGAAAAGTCAAAGAGGCTCCTAGTGTTAATTTCCATATTGCTTAAGACTTAAGCTTTTAATTTATTTTATCAAGGTTGAGGGAGTATCGTAATTGTTGGAACAATCCCTCTCCAAAAAAAAAACAAAAAAATAGCCTGCACTTGTTTTTAAATTCAATTTGTTTTCTCACACAGATTTTTGATACACTCTTAAATATACTAGAAATCACAATTATTTTAATATGGCAGAGTTGTAACCAGGAAATTGCATATATTTTCATAAACGAGGCTGTTATAGATTTATTAATATTTGTTAATAGCATTATTTTTAGAAATTTTTTTAACGTCTTTCAACCTTGAAAGGGCCTGCTTGAAACATACACGGCAGCAAAATCACTGGAGTCCACAGGGTTTTTGTCACACACACAGAGCACAGATTTTTTTGATTATGTAGATTTCTTTTCCTACTGCAGTTTCATATGCAAAGCATGCATCAGCCACATCCATGCTATCTCCTAAAGCAGTCATTCTGAAACCCAATCTGGGGACAGTGCAGACTAAATAAAATTTCATTTTGATTTGGCCTCCCGCTGCGAACGGGACTGCTTTGTCTCAGCCGACAGAACCAGCAAGCCAGAAAGGTATGTCCTGTTTTGCATGGCTGATGGTGTGTCTTGCGGCTCACAATCAGGCCGTCTTGCTCCCGGCTCCTCCACTTCCTGCTTCTCTTTCTCTTTCCCCTTCCATTTGCTCCCGTGCTGCCTGCCTTCTACCTGCAGGGCACAGCCGTGGCAAACCCGCACCGATTGTTTACTTTAGCATATGCTTAATAGCGCGCGTGGCTGTTTGCTTTTTTTTTTTTTTTTCCCCACTGTCTTTGTTGGTGGTGGCTTTTTTTTTTCTGTTTTGGTTTTTGTTTTGCTTAGCTTTCCTCGCCCACATTGGCTTTCTCTGTTTCTCAAGGTGTGGAATACTAAAATACTGACTGAAAGGAGAATTGTACAGGCGCTGCTGTGATGCTCCAGAGATTTCACTGGAAGATTTGTCATGCTGATTTTATTGTAAATTTGAAGATGCATTTAACAGCTTTGAAGGACCTTAGCTTCCATGGTCCTTTTGAGCCGCTTTGGCAGAAAAGCAATCGCCCATTTTAGAGAAGGGGAGAAATAGAGAATAAAGACTCTCCTCCAATAGGACTGAACGGTTTTGCCATCTTGGTATGTTTTATAAAATGCACTGTGGTGTTTTCCCGAAGAGCTGCTAAATATGGCTCTGCTTTAAACAATGACCTTCACTGGGAGTCATCTCATGAGAGACTATGTTGTGTCAAATGTTCTTCTTACACTTGTCCCCCCTTTGGGAGAATGTACTAGCAATCAGGGACAACCTGCTGTGATATTCTCAGAAGAAGCTTTAGATAAGATGGCGAAGCACCAGGGGACTGACAGGTGGTGGGAACTCAGTTTTCAAGCCCAAATTTATCCTTGAAATTGTTATTGCCCTTCACCAATTCATAGGGTGCTATAAAGGAAAGAAGTTTTTTCCCTGGCTCACATATTGGCATATCATTAATCTAAATCAAATTACAGCAAACTGGTAAAGATGGAGATAGAGTAAATGACAAATAAATTGCTTAAGAGAAGAGCACAAAGAAAAGTTCACTCTGACTCTGGGGTTCTGCCTAAGTAATTCCACATAGGATATAGATTAGCAGATGAAAAATACCAATTAGCTTCATAGGGACCTCACCCCACCCATCCAGAGCAAAAACAAAAAAAGTCACATCATGTAACTTTGTAAAGGGTCAAAAATTAACTTTGGCCAATCCATAATGTTGTGGCCATTCTAGAGTTTTGAGGGGAGTCGTGCTCCAGGGGTACTTCCAGATGCCATTTCTGAAATGTAATGGCTGAGGTCTTTGCCATTACAATAAATTATCCTTTCACCGCAAAGTCTCTCAGTTCACTATTTTGCACCTGTTAGCCAAGCGCTGTGGGAGAGAAGAGTCACCAAGAGCGTTAGTCATTTGTTGATAGACTCCCTACTTACTACATACAACAGATTGAAGAACAAAATGAAAGTTAGTTAAAGAAGACGTTGAAGAAACAATAGTGTGAAAACAGCATGAGATGTCATTTGGTAAATATGCCACAGCCTCACATAAGGAAGAGGAAAATGGCAGTGTGGGCCATGACTGGCAGGCCTGGATCCATAGACTGTGATTTCCAGGATCACCCAACAGTAAGTCTTTTTCCTGTAGCCTTACCATCAGAGCCACTTGCTTGTTTCATAGCTATTGATGATATTGAAAAGCCCAAATTTGCTTTTTGTCCAATTTGTCAGTGCTCTTATAGGATCCACGTGTTGGAATTTTAGGGACTTCTTTGGGTAACTAAGCAAATGTTTTAAGAAGTAAACTCTACTATGCTGCTATACAGGCGGTCTTAAATACAATTATTTAGCAAGAATAAAGTACTTTTTATGAAAATTCAAATGCAAACACTAGTTATGGAACACAAGGTGCTCAAAGAAGATTTATTTATCTATAAAAAATGTATAGGCATACATGCTTACAGTATGTGTGTGTATCTATGTATAAATATACACACACAGGTCTAATACATCTAACATACACATATACAGAGACTGAACCAATGATGCTATCAAAAAGAGTCACAAAGCTTATCTTGAAGATTAAAATCAGTACATATGTCAATAAATATAGCTAGCAGATAAAATTCTAAACTATAGTTTGATTTATCATATCATACATATAATATACACCAAAGGTTTATATTAAGTGATGTAATATTTTTATTCATTGATGGGTTCCTCTTGAACTCCATCTGTAGGAGGCAAATTATTGTAGTATGATTGAAGCTATCATGTGATTTGGGAAGATGGACTCCTCAATGCCTTAGCATAGGTCTGTATATCTCTGCTTTTGGTGTCTGTTATGCCTGATGCAGGTTGTCTTCCAAGTTTTAGTCCATATGTTCCAAACGCACGATAGCTCAGTGTGTCTGCAAGCACGAGACATAATAATCTAATAGAAATTTTGAAGATAAAGACTATCACGGTGACTCTTAGTATGTGAGTTTAGTTTCTATATCTTTTGTTTGCTAATGTTGTGATGATCATAATCTGATCTTAACGTATTTCGTTAGCTAGACCCCTCTCCAAGTAAGAGAAACAACACTAGCTGGAATTAAATGTAAATTGTGGCGAGAGACAGCGAATTCAGTTTTCTAGCCACCTTCTACCCTCCCCTGTCTGGGAAACAGTGAGGATGCTCAAGTATTCTCTGTGGAGGGAATGAATGAACGTGTGAGTGTTGCTGGTGGAGTGCATAGAAGAAGGGCGGGAGATGCTTGTACCAGCAGGAGCCTGGCTCCACATCACCTAGCTCTCAGTACTCAGGAAGGGAAGAAAGAGATTTGGGAGACACCGATTCTCACTTTTAGGCCCACAGAAACTCCCCAGGCCTGTGGACCCAGTGAAAATGTATGTGCGTTTTTCAAAGGAAATAACTTACATGACGCGGGCAAACTGGGCTGAATAGACACCCCCCAAATGTTAAGGATTTATGAGTTCTAAGCAGGTCAGATCCAGCCACGGAAGAGTCATGAGTGGCAGAGGACAGAGAATCATAACATTCTCTGGAAAGGTCAGTATGGGGGAAAAAAAAAATCTATGTATTTACATTTATTTGTTTATTTATACGCTGTAACGACTTTCTGGTTACAAAGAAAACATACCATATGGAGAGACTAAAGAGAGGCAGCATTTTTAAAAGTCAGTTATGTGGAAAATTCATTTTTGACTTCTGTAGGCAAGGTAGTTAAAACAGAAAACAATAAAGAGAATGCTAGTCAGAATCCAGCTACTGCGTTTGGGCGAGGTATTACTGACAAAACATCTTTGAGTTACTTCTCAAAGCATAATGCTAGACTTGGAGTCCAACTGCTTATGTTGTTTTAATACAAATAGTTATATTTGATAGAAAGGTCATTTATTGTACCAGTTTTAGTCAGAAAGAAACTCCCTGCTATTAAGATGTATATGGTAACAAGAAATGACTTCTGGAGATCCAGAGACTACATCAAGAACATCAGATTTTCCATTTAGGCTTAGGAAACCTTGGGAAATCCCCATAGTTCACCAGATTAGGACAGATATTGGGGTGAGATTGGTCACTGAACAATTTCAAATCTAATTTTACTGTTGGAGAGAAGATTTCTACTTGACCTATCAGATCACAAGTTGTATCATCTCATCAGAGAAATTCTGTAAAGTGTGTCTTGTCCACACATGGAAATAATCTTAGACCTCAATATTTCATCTCATGGACATGCCCAGCAAATCTTAAAGCCCAGAATAAACAGACCCTGGATATTAAAGGTGATAGCCTAGATAATCTTCATACGTGTTTGTCCTCAATAAATGTAAGAATTGACCCAACCTTTCTTACAAAGCCTACATCAAAATGGCCATTGTCCTTGTCACATATTTAGGTAGAGAGGGGCCCTCTGGTTAAGCTTCATTGGCTACTCTTGGTTAGTTGAGGCATAGGTGCTGCTGTCAGGATAAGACAGTCCCACAGCAGCCACTGGGGATGGACCACTGGCCAGTGAACTGGATTGAACTCATGGCGGGGACTCAGAATTCTACCGATAAAGAGACCTGAGCCAAGACCATGGCCACAGGAGGAGTTGCCTACCCTTTCCCTATCATTCTGTGCAAGCCAAAGTAAAGGACCATGAGCTCACCAGCCCCAGACTGAGGCCAGGAATGCAAACAGGCTTCTAGGGATCAGAGAGGAAGTGGATTCAGTAACGGGAGTGTCAGAAGATAATGCAAGGGCTCCACATGAGTGTGAGAAGTCCTACTTACTCTCATAGCCAGTAGGATCCATTAATTGCATTCACCTTTCCTCACACACCAGGACATCATCTTAGGGGAAGAAGCAGGGGGGTGAATACATAAGAGATTGGGCATTTTATCCAAATGGAAGAATGAACACCAACTGAGAAAGACAGCTTAAATTATCAGGCCTGACAGCTCCAAACTTGATGGGACATTTAATTAATTTCTCTTCTCTACCTCATTCACTACTGATTGAGGGCTTGGGAAGAAGCCTAGATAAACTGCAACCAAAATAAAGAAAATAAATTTTATTTTTGCTTTATATACAAGATGTATTGTGATTGAAATTCTGCAATCCAGCTACACTTAAAAGATCCTAGATTTTCACTTGAATGTCTGCCATCAGTGACCCAAGGAAACGTTAGAAACTTCATATGCCAATCTCAGTATCAAACAAGTATTGGTTGCAATAAGTCACATTAATCTTCTTCAGTACCTACCATGCAATATAACTTGAACTCCAGAGGATAAGACGCCTACGGTGTATGGATTTCTCACAGCTATGTCTCTATTTCTTGAAGGGATATTTGATGCACAAAAGCTGGTCCCAGTTGTACTGCCAATATCTCAAGTCTGAATCCCCAGCCTGCTTCATGGACCATGCTCAACAGGAGCCAGGACAGAGCCAGTTTCTCTCTCTGAGAAATTTAAAATTTGAAACATAGAAGGCCACTTGCTGGGGCTTGTTGAAAATGAGTGCATTCACATCAGCACAGCAGAAGACACATGAATTTTATTTCTTATTCCAGAAGATCTAGAAGCCAGCTGCCTTTCTTCTCCTTCCACAGCATGGCTGGTCAACTCCTGTTGAGTTCCTTGAAATGCCACAGTGTTATCTCAGTCAATACCCTCCCTTCTGCTTAAGTTTGTGAGAGTTCACTTCTGTTGTTTTCAACTTAAGAGTATTCTATGCTACCTACAAATATGTGAGAAAAATTCTCGCAAATCAATATAACATTTGAGAACTTCCATCATGTAGCCTAAGGAAGGAAGAATAGAGATGGTGAATGCTCACTTAGTCTTGGACTTGTGCCCACATACTAAAACTGAAGTGTTGTTGAATTTGGTAATGGTTGTAAATGTTCATTATTTCAACCAGACATTTTCTAGAAAGGCACATAAATGCCTTCGGGAATGCCAATAGTTTGTAACACAAGGATGCCATCTTACAGAATTAAGTGTTCTAGGGTATTGTCCATAGAGTAACTTTCCAAAAGTTATGCAATGTTTCTTCTATTCTATTGGTATGTTTATTCATGTAAAACATGTATCAGATTGACTGTGAGCAGAAAACTAACTTAGAATTCAAGATAAGACTCAAAAGAATCAAGTAGTATCACAACATTGAGGAATAAAGGCAGAATCAAGCCACTACTACAGGAATCTAGACACAATTGGGATCTAATTATTTCCTACATAGAGACCAAGGTGAGAGTTTTGGGATACTCAAGGACAATGCAGAGAAACCTCAATTTTTAAAACAAATTATTTTGAAGGTTCGCTACTAAAACATGGTCTTTAGACTGTGCCATTAAATCAAATTTCTCTCCCGGGGAGAGAGGAGAAGAAAAGCCACCGGACCTGCCCCACACAGATCAGGCTTTGCTCAAGTGATGGGGAGAAGGGTTGAAAGATATTTCTTCTGCTTTTCATCCAGGGCAGCCTTCCAAACACTTTGATAGGAATCCCAATTGGTAATTGAAAAAGAATAGGTAGTGTGATGAATAAGTCATAAAATAAGGCTTGGTCTTCACTTGAAAGTCCACCTTGTAATGTTTTATGTAATTATAGAGTAACACAAATTGTTAGTACTATCATTCATATATATATATAATATATACGTAGATAGGTAAAATAGAAGAATGAATATAGAAATAGACTACTGTAGGAGGGAAGGCTTCATCCCATTATTTCAATGGTTTGTTCTGTATCTGTGCAAAGGGCAAAAGAAGGTGAATGTAGCTGTACCATTATCACCCGCCCACATTAAGGATGCATTTAATCTGCTCTAGTCCATTACAGACTGCTGTGCATTTCAATTCCAGACTCTTTATGCTTATTTTAAAAATACTTGAATCTTTTAATATTAAAGAAGGTTTTAAAGGAAAACAATATATTTTGGAACTGACATGTTTTTCAGCGAAGCAGTAACTATTTATGGGCTAGCTAAATGACGACTGAGAGTGTTTCTTCTTACCAGCTATCTATTAGTATTTGGAGAGCGTAAACACTAATGAAGGTGAAGAACTAGGTGGAACAAGAGGATAGGGTTTAGAGTAATGGGATGAAATTAAGGAAAGGGAAATTTAGGTTGA